GGCAATATTTTAAAGAGTGCATCTGATCGAAAAGAAAGTGAATGACGTCAACTGTTCGAAAATTCGATTCTTGGAAATTAACAAGTGGAAGAAGAAGTTTACAAAGTTGTAATTAATAAAACTCAGCACAATTATGTTATTAAAAAATTTAAATGATTTTTTTTTTTTTTTTATGTACTTATTCTCAAGAAGTTCTGTAAAAACATAAATTTGAACCTTACGTTTAAGTAAAGCCATGTTAGAACACGTATTTTAGACGTCGAAATAAGAACGTCTAAATTAGGTTATTTAAAGACGTCATTCGGCGTTTCCATTTAGCACTAGTTCTGAACGTCCTAAATTCACGTCTTTAAGACGTCTCAAAACACGTCTTTATTCCGTCCTAAAAAGACGTCCTAATTACGTCTTAAAAAGACGTCATCTGGCGTTGCCATTTAGAACCAGTTCTGGACGTCCTAAGTAGACGTCCTTTCGACGTCATATGAACGTTTCCGTGCCTGCTGGGTTTAAACTTGTCAAAGTTTTGGTTTATGCTCCTAATATTTATTTGTAAAATAGAAAATGAATTTGTTTCTTTTTTTCCCTTAAATTCATAAGGATCAAAATACGGTGTTTTCATTAAATTCCATTGAGTTTCTTGAAAAATATTTGTGATATTTTTTAAATTGTCTTCAAAAGGGTCAAATATTATATTTTCAAAACCTTGTTGAAAAATATTATTCGAATCCATATTTAAGTAAGTATATAAGAATTTACCTATAAATATATTTATAAATTATTTATCCCGAGGTATTACATTTTCTGTTCTTGCACATTTATTTTGTCGGAATTCATGGACAATTAGTTTATTATAAACAACTTTAGCATAAAAACCGTTTTGTCTATGAATTTTCGCCTTAGCAAATAACTCTTCGAATTTTTCTTCTGTTTTACTATTTATTCATTACAAATTATTTATTTAAATATGTAACATTAAATCGGTTATTCTTTATTTTTTACTTAATTAACTCGTTTTCGATTATACTAAAATTTTTATTTTTTGAGATGAAAACAGAAACGATCTTTTGAGATGAAAACGAGTAAAAACTTTTTTATAAAGTTCAATACAACTTTATTTAGAGAGTTTTTTGAAATAAGCGTTTGCAGATCGTTTGGTACATCTTTATATTTTTTGTAATGTATCTTATTCTTTAAAACTTTTTATTATTTTTTAAAATGTGTAAAATAATTCATTTTTGAAACCATAATTGATTCATTATTCTTTTTATTAAGCATATATAGTTTTCTTTACTTTATTGAGCATATAATTATCGCAGATAATGATTGGTACATTCGAAACTCCAGATGCATTGACTGAATTATCACGAAACTTTGCAATTAGCAGAAAAAGTTTTAATTTAAAAACAATGCTAAACTTTTACTCGTTTCGTTGTTTCTCTAACTTTCTAAAGGTGTTAACAAATTTAATCAATCTTTATGATTATATTTATTGCATCATCATTCCACTCCCCCCCCCCCCTTCTCTATCTCTAGTAAAGCCACTGATAGGAGGTATCTTTTAATGTTAAATACCAATCCTAAATATTTTTATATAGCGTTTTATAAAATAAACATTTGTAACAACAACAACAAAAAATAAACTTTTAAATGTTGCAAGTAAAAAGGATATGAAAACATTGCAGCTATAAATAAAACTCAACCAAAAAAAACTTTAAGAGAAACGGCAAGTTAACCATAACAAGTAGGTTAATCTGCTAGACAGGTATAATAAAAAAACATATAGACAATGTATTTATAACTAATGCAAAATTATCCGTCAACTCTAACCACATAGCTATAACTGGTAGGAATGCTAACGACTTGTTGTTGACGCTAATGACAGCTTTCAAAATCTTTCTTGTGTTGCAAAACAAAACCATGGTTTTATTTTGCAACACGTAGTCTGGGATTTGCTTTCGCGGCACGTGGAAATGGCTGGTAACACAGTTATGTCGTTATCTAATACCACATGGTGCGACAGACCATTTGAATTTTCAATGGCAGAACAATTGGCAAACCTTGCAATATTTATTTTTGTTCATCATATATTTGGCATTTAAACTTTATTTACTAATAAATAATAATAAAATAATAATCGATAGTGTAAAAAGTGTTTCGATAAAGTTAAAAGACAATATTTCATACTTAATTACAATTTATATGACTTATAACTTATCAATCAAATATATTTTGTTGTAATTATTACAAACAACAATTTAAAAAAATAGAATTAAAAATTCAAGTGCACCTCTACTACTTATTTACTTTAACTATTGACTTCTTCTTTTTTTTACAAACTTAAACTTAGTTGGACAAACATGGAGTTTGTAAATTACATTGTATGTACATTTTCATTTATAAAGTTTATAGATTATACACATCACATAGGGGAGAGTGGGGTATTGGCGAACAGTTAAGCGGGAAAGCGAATTAAAGACAACTATTACTATATATTGATGAT